TGGAATCACTGGACCGTTGGCGTCGGTCGTTTCGACTAATTATCATCGTGTTAATTAAAACGTACTGGTCGGTACGTGCATTTGGATCCATTATCATATAATACACCTGGTCCTGGGTCACATTTCCGCTACCCTCTAAAATCTTCTCGGCGTTGAATGATGACAATTAAAACACATTTCAAAAAAGAAAAATAAATAAACGAAAGAAGAGAAAATTTCCCCAAGGATAATTTTACCTCATTTTCAACCCCCTATTCATTTTCATGACATTTTATTTTATCCCCCTTTTTCATTCTGTATAATAAAGAAAAGTCCTCTAATAAATATTCATATATACATTCACATTTTTTTTTCTATATGTTTCATAAATATTAATCAAAAAAATTTCTTTACCGAACATCAAATTTAATGAAGGAGTAGAAAATCTTCGTCCATATCTTATTTTAGAAAAAAATTTTTTTCCCCTCTAATTTCTTATTGGAAATTTAATTCAATGTTTTCTTTTTTATTTATTTCGAAATTTCATGAATTTTAACGAATAGTATTAGTAAGAGTTAAATCTATCAAAATTCACATACGTGTATATTTCCTTTGTTCTTGTCAATTTCAACATTGTTACATCAATGAGAAGTAATCTCATAATCCGCATATCAAATCCCTCCCCTTATGTATCACAACAAATTAATGATTTAGTGGTAATTACATTCACCATTAACCAATGTACAATTTTCTCTCAACTCAATTACATAAATCAAAGCAACATTTATAGTTCAGTTTGTAATGTGATTTTGGAATTGTAAAATATAATTAACTGGAAACACAAATATAATGTTTCAAATTCCTTAATTGTTGATGGAACTTTAAAAAATATTCACTAGGGTAAGTGCGTCAATTGCTGCGGGTGCTTCAGTTTCTGCGGCATTTTAATAATTTAAGTGAATACATTTGTTCAGGGCACAAATAATTTTGAAATTTTTTTTAAAAATTACTTAACGATGTAAGTTTTAAAATAGATATAGGAAGTATATACCAAAACATAATATTTATGTATTTAATTTTAATTAAAAGTTGACGTGTTCAAGGTTTTATTTATTTTCATTGCTAACTTTGCTGGCGGTGCAAAAATACCTACATAAAAAAGGCTTTATTATTGTTTTTAGACTTAAAGTGGTTATTATTATGATGATTTTAGATAAAGAAAACCTTGTTTTAAAAGAAACATTAAACTTTACTTTATTTTTGTCTGTTATTATATTTTATTTTTAAGAGTAGTAATTAACACAGAATTTGGACTTGATTTAATTTCTGCGCCCTCAGAAAATCAACTAAGACTGGTTACAATAGACTATCTATTTTGAAAAAGAGCAAGAAAAAATTATGAAAATGAAAGAAAAAATGAAGATTATGGAGGAAAAACTAAAGAAAATTTAATAAATACATAAATTAATTAAGGAAGAATTCTGTTATTAAGTTTTAACTAAATGTTTCAAAAATGTGATAATTCAGAAATTATTTGTTACTTTTGTTAATATATGATATATATTTATTTGTAATAAATTTATATTCTATTCAATTAAGCATTGATTAAAATCATTGTCCCATTTTGATTTCATAGTAGTTTGCGGTATTATACACATAAACACGAAATTATGCGCAGAAACTGATCCACAGGAATTAAATTCGCGCAGCAACTGATGCGCAGAAACTGACTCAAACGCGCAGAATTAAACGCATTGAATATTATTTTTAATTCATTAAATTTATTAAAATAAATTATATTTTAGAGATGTTATTTATTGTAAACATATCTTAATAACACAAACTACAAATTTAATAAGACATAAGTTCAATTTGATCAATATAAAAATTATATTTTATAGTTAAAAGACGTCTTGACCAAAATACCGCAGGAATTAGTACACTTACCCTAAATCTGAATTAGCAGATGGTTGTCAACTAATTTGGAAAAAACATGCAATACTTGCAAGAACTAAAGCCAAAAAAAAAACATAAAATTTTCTCTAAATTAAAGAAAATTGAACAATATATCCATAAAACCAAGTAGATAAATTCGATTGTAGGACAAAAGTTCGAAATCGGAAGTTCCAAACTAAAAGTTCCAATCCAAAAGTTCCAATATATAAAATGTCAAATTTAAAAAAATTCTAAAATAACAAATAAGTATGTTGTTCCAAAATTAAATAAGTCCCAATGTTGAAAATCTCAAAATACACGTAAGTGACAACATAATAAAAATTGAATTAATTTGAAAAGAATCAGTAAATAAAAAATATATTATTACATTAACAATAATAATTATGGGACGCATGATTATTCCCCAAATGTCATTTTTCCGAAATGTCATTTTACCGAACTGCACTTTTGCGAATAGTCATTTTTGCGAATTGTCACTTTTGTGAAATGTCACTTTTGCGAATTGTCATTTTTGCGAAAAGCTATTTTTGCAAATTGTCATTTTTGCGAATAGCCATTTTTACGAATTGTCAATTTTCTGAAAAGTCATTTTTGCGAATCGTAATTTTTACGATTTGTCAATTTTTCGAAAACTCATTTTTGTGAATTGTCATTTTTACGAAAAGACATTTTTGTGAAATATCATTTTTGCGAAAAGCCATTTTTGCGAAAAGTCATTTTTACGAATTGCCATTTTTGCGAATGGTCATTTTAAAGAAATGACATTTTTGCGAAAAATACAATAGTGAATTTATAGACCTACAAGTTTTCTATTGTATTTTTCGCAAACATGACTTTTCGGAAATTTGACAATTCGTAAAAATGTCGATTCGCAAAAATGACTTTTCGGAAAATTGACAATTCGTAAAAATGGCGATTCGCAAAAATGACAATTCGCAAAAATAACAATTCGTAAAAATAACTCTTCGCAAAAATGACAATTCGCAAAAATGACAATTCGCAAAAATAACAATTCGTAAAGATAACTTTTCGCAAAAATGACTATTCGCAAAAATGACAATTCGTAAAAATGGCAATTCGTAAAAATGGCGATTCGCAAAAGTGACAATTCGCAAAAATGTCAATTCGCAAATATGATTTTTCGCAAAAATGGAAATTCGTAAAAATGGTGATTCGCAAAAGTGACAATTCGCAAAAATGACATTTCTCAAAAATGACAATTCGCAAAAATGACTTTTCGAAAAAATTACAATTCGTAAAAATGGCGATTCGCAAAAATAACTTTTCGGAAAATTGACAATTCGTAAAAATGGCGATTCGCAAAAATGACAATTCGCAAAAATAGCTTTTCGAAAAAATGACAATTCGCAAAAGTGGCATTTCGCAAAATTGGCTTTTCGCAAAAATGACTATTCGCAAAAGTGCAGTTCGGTAAAATGACATTTAGCAAACATGACTTTTCGGAAATTTGACAATTCGTAAAAATGTGGATTCGCAAAAATGACTTTTCGGAAAATTGACAATTCGTAAAAATGGCGATTCGCAAAAATGACAATTCGCAAAAATAACAATTCGTAAAAATAACTCTTCGCAAAAATGACAATTCGCAAAAATAACAATTCGTAAAGATAACTTTTCGCAAAAATGACAATTCGTAAAAATGGCAATTCGTAAAAATGGCGATTCGCAAAAGTGACAATTCGCAAAAATGTCAATTCGCAAATATGATTTTTCGCAAAAATGGAAATTCGTAAAAATGGTGATTCACAAAAGTGACAATTCGCAAAAATGACATTTCTCAAAAATGACAATTCGCAAAAATGACTTTTCGAAAAAATTACAATTCGTAAAAATGGCGATTCGCAAAAATAACTTTTCGGAAAATTGACAATTCGTAAAAATGGCGATTCGCAAAAATGACAATTCGCAAAAATAGCTTTTCGAAAAAATGACAATTCGCAAAAGTGGCATTTCGCAAAATTGGCTTTTCGCAAAAATGACTATTCGCAAAAGTGCAGTTCGGTAAAATGACATTTAGGAAAAATGACATATGGGGAATAATCATGCGCCCCAATAATTATTAACAGTATAGCACATGTTATTAATAACTAAATGATTAAAATAAAAAATATTAATGAAATAGTAAATTTTTAATAAATAAAATCCTATCAAATGATTTAACTTTAATTATATTTAATAATGCTATTTACACATGAAACACATTTATGCCATTGGGAGAAACTGTTTCAAAAAAATATTGTCATTTAATTCCGTTTCATTTGGAATTTAGACGAATTTATAAAATTTCAAGTGGATCAGCTATTTTATTTGTCCGCCGCCATTTTGTTTATCATAATTCTTAGAAGTGACGGAATGCAGCACTAAAAAGTTTCTGAATTTCAAGTTTGAATTTGAAAGAAAATGTTGGGCCTTTACGTATTTGGAAATAAGAATTATTTTGACTTTTGACCGAAAAATTCCATTTTTTGTGAAATAACTTGTTTCTAGTAAATCTAAAAATATTTTGAGTCCATGGTTTAAGAAATTAAAAGGTTTTGTGTTTCTACGAAGAAAGTTTGTAATTAACATTAATTTCAAATTCAAAATCAACGATCCCAAAAATTTAAAAAGAATGGCTTTAATCCCTGTCGTCTGCTATTCAAAAACCGACATTTTTCTGCCCTTGGTATAAAAATAGTTTTTTCTATTGTTATACCTGAATATATAAATAAAATAATTTCAAAAAATTATTAATTTTAATTTAATACGTAAAATTAATTTTTTAATTTAATAATTATTTTTATTAAAATCATTTTTAAAAATTATCTTCTTATATATTGTTTAAACCAATTTAATTAATAATCTATTTATTTGCGGCTTTTGCAAACGTTATAAGTCCACGTTAAAATATATATTGAACGTACCTATTCAAATGCAAATTCGCAATTCTCATTTTTACTGAGACTGAGTTTTGTTTCGTCTTTTTTTTCGAGCCATAAGAAAATAAAAGAATAATTGAAAAACAATCATTTCATTCATCAATTCATCAGCACTTTTGATTTCAGGCGAAATTGGAAACCAAAGCGCTTAAGGCAAAAAGGCCAGGCTTCACAGATGAACGTTACAACGAGACGAGTTATTACGTGGAAAATGGTGAGTATCATTTTTTTTCTCTCTCTCTCTCATCGACAAACTGCGGAGAATTTATCTAGATAAAGTTTGTCTCATTTTTTTCATTTTTATAAAATGGTTTATTTCATACTTGAAAAATCTTTAGGTATTCCACGTATATATAGGAAACAATTTAAAAAATGTATTATTAAATAATGAGACTCTATGGTTTGCGACGTTTTCAAAAATTATGATCTAGGTAAAGTTTTTGATATTTTTAAATTGGGAAAATTATTTCGACTTTGTTTTCTGCTTATCTGGTAATTTCGTTGAAAATGTTAACTCACCAAAATCCCAGTTTCTAATAAGCTTAGATACGAGCTTTAGAAAGGGGTGCGCTTGAGAATTTAAAGGAAGGGTATAGAAATACAGGGCCGAAGGTTTATTTTTTTTCAAACGTAAAATAAAAAAAATTTATTTGAAACAAGTAAGCGATTATGAATGACTATTATCACTTTTTCCTGCATTAACAGCCTTTGCCGCATCATTTAATAGTAGGGGAGAAAAATAATCTCTTAAACTTTTATTCTAAGCCAAATAAAAATACATATTTTTTTCATTCTAATCCTTTCGTGCCCCCTAGCCAGTGGATTTTATTGAAACTTGTTTCTTAAGGGTTTTTGGAGTCACTGATTACGAATCTAAACCCAGATTTTCAAAATTTTCAAAATTCAAAATGGTGGATCCAATATGGCGGACATTTTTTTCAAAATTGCTCAAATTTGCAGAAAACTTGTTACTCCGGGGTTTTTGGGGTCGCTGATTACGAATCTGGAGTCAGATTTTCAAAATTCAAAATGGCGACTCCAAAAACCCCCGAGTAACAAGTTTCAAGCAAATTTGAGCAGATTTAAAAAAATGTCCACTATTTTGAATTTTAAAAATTTTGAAATCCTGACTTTAGATTAGTAATCAGCGGCACAGAAAACCCCCGAGTAACAAATTTTATGCAAATTTGAGCAATTTTACAAAAAAATGTCCGCCATATTAGATCCGCCATTTTGAATTTTTTAAAGTTTGAAAAATTTTGTTATTCACACATAAAGTAATTATAATAAATATATATATATATATTACATTAACATTGAAATCTTATAATGTTCACTTGATTTTTATAGTCACACTGTGAAAAAAAGATTCTAAATTATAGCTGATTTCGGTATTTAAAAATTTTAAATTAAAACAAAATGGGTCTTACAAATTCTTATTTAAACTGAAACACAATCTGACTTCATTTTACTAGAAATTTAGGGCAATAGAGTGAAGAAAAAATTAGAAACTTTACAACGAAATACTTTGAATTTCAAATAAACTTTTCATTTCTTTAGATTAAAAAATAATATGTCAAATTAATTAACTTTATATTTATACAAAGGAAAACAAATTAAAAAATACCCTCCCTTTTCATCATTAGAATTCAGAATTCTTCATCTAAAAAGAAGAAAGAATTTTGCATAATAAAGTACAGCGTTATCTAGCAGAAATTTAAAGTTTTCACAGACAAAAATGTGAAAACATACAAACACGCATTCGAGTTGAGAGCATGAAAAGACGGGCAGAGGGCTAGTCTACTTTTTTAGTTGTAAATTACTTTAATTTAAGACTTTTATTTCTACAGTGCCAGCAATGTTTGTTATTTTTTTAATTATTATATTAGTTTTTAAAGAGAAAAGCAATATTTTTTCGCTTGTTTTTGTTTTAATAAAATATATGTAAGTTAAAAAAAGTAAAACTTCGTATAACGTAGATATGATGTTATATAGATTTATCTCTCTCACTCTCATTGTTTACACTCTGCTTTTCCTTAGTTTTTGAATTTAATATTTTCCAATTATGAATTGTTTTTAAATTTAGAGGAAGTATTTCAATTTTTTTGTATAAAATATTTTCTTGTAATAAAACTTTTTTCATATTTGTTAAAAAAATATTATCCTGCACGGAAAGGAAATAAATATTAAATTTTATGATAGTATTTTACAAATTTTAGGAAAAAAATTCGACAATGAGAAATTTTACTATAAAAAATATTAAACTTTAAAAAAAACTTATGTGAAATTTCGTAAAGTTATGTCAAATATCAAGAATATTTATTTATTCAGAAATATTAATCAAACTTTTACCCTTTAACCTTTAACACCCCCTAAAAGGGAGGGGAAAATTTTTAAAAACCACAAATGTTCTTAAAGGTTTATAGGAACGCTGATTACGAATTCGAAGTCAGTTTTTCAAAATTCAAAATGGCGGATCCAATCTGACGAACATGTTTTTTAAATTCATTGAATTAGCTTGCAACTTATTGATACTCGGGGGTTTTTGAGGTCGATGATTACGAATCTAATGTTAGATTTTCAAAATTCAAAATGGTGCATCCGCCTTTTTGAATTTTGAGACAGTTTCATTAAATTTGCAGTCAACGACTCAAAAAACTGAAAAATAACAAATTTCAAGTGAATTACCTAAATTAGATTTTCAAATAAGTTTTTCGCCATATTGGAACTACTTTTTTGAATTTTGAAAAAAAACTACTTTTTTGTAACGTTAAATTCGTAATCAGCGACCTCAAAAATCCCCAAGTAACGAGTTTCATACGAATACAAAATGTTTTGAAAATTCGAAATAAATAAATAAATTTTAACAAAAAATGTTTATATTTTTTTAAACAACAGCAAAATTTTACATTTTTTTTTTTTTGGTTTACTTTTTTTATACCATCTTCTCGCCACATTGTTATTTGACCTCAGGAATTGAAAAATCACATTTTTAAAAAATGTCATTCCGTATAAGTATGCAAACATTACATTTTCATAAATATCTCGAGATGATGAAGAGCTTTGGGAATGAATTTTTTTTTAAATTATAGGTCTTACGTGCGGACATAAAATAAGAGTACTTTGAGATAGATTAATAAAGTTTAACTATATTTTTTTGGATTTTTAATTTTCCAAAAAATCGTTTTTTTCCCATAACTTAAAAAAAATGTTAGGACACCTATAAATGTTTTTCCATAATTTTATAGAGTTTTTTTAGACGCATCTTTTGAGCCCTAATTGAACATTTTTCGTCCATATTAGCCGGAGATATAAAACTTTTAAAAATCTAAAATTTTTGAAAATAAAACTTTTTTAAAAATTTTATTAAGAAATGTAAAATTATCTTTAAAAGTCGCATAACCAACTTGTAGAGCATTAAAGAATGCTGCGATTGACCTATTTTTGAACCTAATTTAATTAGAAATTACAAAATTATTAGAATTTTAAAAACCAAAAATTGTAAAAAAAATCTTATTTTAAAAATTTTTTTAAAATATTCTTTCTTTCATTCTGTTTACACTTTGAAGTTAGTTTTTGTGTAGGCTTTTGTTTTTTTTTTTCTTTAAAAAATATTGTTTGACAAATAGAAAAAATGCAGGTATTTTTTCATGATTTATAATAAAACAATATTTGAAATTAGAAAATATAAAAAAATGATGATAACAAGTAAATTTTGTTTGCTATATGCTTTTTTCTATAACAAATTGTCAAATTTCGTTCGACTGATCGAAATTATGCAAATTTTTCTCCTTTTTATTTATAAAAAATAGAAAATTGTTCAGTTTTATAAAAAATTATAATTAAGAAATAGGAAATATTTTATGCACAATTTATATTTCTCAATAACAATATTGTTCAGAAACTCATTCTTTTCTATTGGAAAAGAAACATTACATATTCTATTCTATTTGTCAATTACAAATTTTAATTGAAAATGAAATTGAAACTTTCTTAAATTTTTAGAAAATAAAGGAAAAAATTTTACTCAAAAAAATGTTCTGTTACATTTATTTACGAATTTCTTTAATTGTAAAATTATTCAAAAACATCAATAACTTTTTTTTAAAATAAATATTTAAATATTATTTTTCCGTAGGAATTAAAATTTTTCAAAACATTCAAATTCAAATTTTTTTAAATTCAATAAGTTATAAGAGAATTTTTATAAAACATGAAGATAGCGATTGCTCCGAGTCGAAGACTCGGAGTGATAGATTTCTTCATGTTTTATAATAATGGAATATAACTTTTTAAAATAATTTTCATCCTTTCAAATCAATTATTATTTTCTACAATTTTTAATTATTTTTCATTAAAATCGAATTGAATTCCTTAAAATTTTTTTTAGTATTTATAAAAATAATAGAATTATTGCGAAGGAATTTGTAAATAAAAAATAATTGAATTCCTGAGAAATTTTTATATGAAAATAATTAAATGTTTGTGTAGGTACTATTTTTAGGAATTTGAAATTGATTTAAAAATAATTGAACTTTGTGGAAGAATTTTGTTATTTGTAAAGATAATTGGAATTTTGAGGAGAATTTTTTTTTAAATTTGAAAGATAAAATTCATAATTGAATTTTATGAGAAGAATTTTATCACTCTTGAAAATAATTGAATTTCTGCAATTATTTGTAATTTTTCCAAAATTGGATTTTTTTAATGTTTTCAACAAAAATTTGAATTACAAAATTTTTAAATTCTATTATTTTTAAAATTGCTAATTTCATCCTAACAAGTTATAGCCTTGAATGGTTGCTAGTTTATAGTTAAAAAAAATCTCATAAAAGCAGAAGTGTTTATCGTAATAAAAATTTATGTAATAAACAAAATAAAATAAATTAATCGAAAATAATCTTTATGAGGAAGCAAAGTGTTCATGAAATGAACACAATATATATTTATCTTTTAACTTTGGTAGCGATTTTTTGTGTTTATTTTCTTTCCGTGTGGAACTAAATTTTATTAAAAATATGTGAAAAGGTGTTTTCTCTTATATATATAACTAAAATAATATTTATTTATTTATTTATAGTATCATTTTGTGGAAACTTTATATTTATATTGTAATAGAGAATTTTTATGTAAATACTTGACAGGCAGTAAAAACAAAAATTATTCCATCTTCATAATTTTTTGTTTTTAATTTTAAAAAACTATCTATTTAAA